TCACAGCCACATTTGGCCAAATCTTGTAGAAATATTTTTTATTTTATGGTACAGTGTGGTCTGTTTTTTTGGTATATAAACTCAGTATGTTTGAGAATCATGATCCATGTTGAAGAGACTGTTATTGGTGTTCTGGACTTAACTGGCTGGGCTAGGCAAATAGCAGGACTGATAAGTACTCAAAACTGCTCGTACAGGTTTTGTGTGTCACTGTTCCAATCGATAATTCACTCCTCTCTGATTGGCGGTCTTATCACGTCGTATATTAAATAGGGCACGCACTCACACGATATAACCGAAACTATTCCCTATATTTCTTTCAGCTTATGCTTATACCAGCCAGCATCCAATTTCCGAGCAGACAGTGTCTGGATATACTTATTATATGTACAGACCACCTCAATCGATGATGATTTAAAGAACTTATCTACCAATTAGTTATCTTTCCCTGATATCTTCTATCTAACCGTAACACTGTTCACTCGATAATCCCAACATAAGCAAGCAGTGTATCAAAGACATCTATAATCGAATAATAGAAATCTACTATTCTCCTCTGCTTTTAAGGGTCATGATTCTCGGCCGCAAATGAAGACAGAGTTAACTACTGAGCAGTATATTCGCTTCCTCGTTGTCAGGCAAACGAGTTAGTAATCATAATTGCCATCACTTTATCACTTTGTGTTTGTTGGTGGTTCAATGGAATCAATAAGAAGCTCTTAAGCTTTTTTCTAATTGACGCTTGTCAGCAGGGCGTTTCTTTTATTTTGAACTGACTGATTTCTTCTATGGAATTGGAACGTACAAAACTCAGTATCACCGTCAGAGACGTTATCACATATCTTTTCAGTCTAAGGAGTATCAGCTAACTTGAAACTTAAGTGCAGAAAATCTTGTCAATCATCTTAATCCATCAACCCATGTGAAAACATAGTTCCTGTGATTTTGAGTTACTTTAACTTGTGTTCACATTGTAAGTTTATAAATACAAGGGGTTTTGTGGAAATTTAGTATTTTCATAGTTGAAATCATGATTCAATTGAAGCTAGACCACCAGGGAAAACCTGGAAGCACTAGACGGCCAATTCGTCCTATTGTGGGACTTCTCAGCAGTTTGCATTCACGACCTCGCCTCGCGAGATCCGAACCCAGGACCTACTATGAAAATACTAAATCTCCACACACACACACAAGGTACAATATCCATAATTCCAGATGAACAATAATTAATTTCTTCGAATTAGAGCATTAGCACACTTAGTCTATCACATTGAACAATAACAATGTTACCGGAAGTTGTTGAAATGTCTTTTGAAGTTAAGTAATAGAATATTCTTATTCAGATCATTCATTATTAAACCCTTATATTAGATCTAATTTTCATCTAGACACATTTATCATTGTAGATAACTGATCATCCTTAACCTTAGTTATAAGAAGAGTTATTGAATCTCATAGTCAAACAGTAGATAATAAATTTTATCTGATTCATAATATAATTCACTTTAAAGAAGTGGGCGGAAATAAAGAAAAAATCTTGTTGGAAGAGATTGGAAAAGTTTAATAAATAAAAGATTGGGAACTTATACTTGATATTTTTTTGAATCATCAAATTGTGGATAGCAGTGGAAACCAGAACACGGTTTTTGTCCTACATCAGCCTCTTCAGATAAATATAACACCATCCCACAACTGATGTAAACAATAGTACTCAGACCTGAAACTCTTTACTTTAAACCTTTACCAATAATGATAAAAACATTATACCTATTGAATGAGTGAGTAGTTATTTAGGTTAAGAAGCTCAGGCTATAACACTTTGGCGTTTAAAGCACGAAATACTGAACTCCAGAGCCAATGTAAAAATTAACAGTAGGAGGTAGGAAAACCCAGTTGACGAGTCATAACTAAGATGTTTACTTAATGTCTTTTTACTGCAATATTACCAAAGTATTCTGTTTAGTGAATAGGTGTTTAAAAAAGATATTAGACAACTCTAATTCAATTTCTTATGGTGTAAATTTTTTCTTTGAACTTTGACCAACATTTCTTATCAACAGTGAAATCTGTTTGAACACAGAATATCTCATGTTATCTAAATAAAAAGACAATAATCATTCACAATTCACTTAATTATTAATGAGTTTATGAGTGTAGAATCTCATTGGATATATATCATCTTAAAGAGACCTCCAATTGAAAAATCGTAGTGTGTTACAGATTGGTAGGTCCTGGGTTCGAATCACGCGAGGCGGGATCGTGGATGCACACTACTGAGGAGTCCCGCAATGGGACGAAACTGCTATCCAGTTCTTCCAGGTTTTTCACGATGGTCTAGCTTCAATCGACTCATGATTTCAAGGATATATAAAAATGTTACAGAAATGTTGAAAATGTAGGAATGGATGTTTTAATGTTGAATAAGTAAATATATCTATAAGTCTACTGATTATACTATATTCAATTCGACTAATTAACCACTAAATACACATTGGAATTTTGTTCATATTTTATCTTCTATTGATTCAGTTTATCAGTATTTACTACCTTATAATTCTTAACAAAAAACCCCCTCAAATATTCGTAGTAAATCAACTTATCTCCAAATGGTCGAAATTTGTCCTTTTTGAGTAAATGATATACACATCACCATCATGTAATTAATTTAGTGAAATCCTATGTAGTTAATGTAATACCTAAAAAAATAATTAACATATGGATAGAGCCTATAAGTTTATGTTGAACAACTGTACTTATGTGGTGTATGCTACTTATGCTACTCATTCTCGGAGTTCTAGTGAGAAGCCATGTCCAGTGGAGTTAGTTCATGTCAGGAAGAGATATGTATCTACCTCAGACAATGGAAGATGGTTGCTTAACTTCGTGAATTGATTGAATTTACACATTAACACCCTTGGATGCCTGCTCAGTGGTTAGGGTTCCTAGGTTTGAATCCCGTGGGGTGGGTTCGTTAATGAGCACTGCTGATGAGTCCCACGATAGGATGAAACTGCCATCCACTGCTTCCAGGTTTCCAATGATTTTCTATCTTGCGTAAACTGATGAATTCAACTATTAAACATATTAGTCATGAGATACTTTTTAACAAACTGAATTAAGTGGATGATTAAAACAATATTTTCAGCGTATATACTGTAACCTCAGCGAATCCCGTGTAATTTACATTTAAGATGTATTATCAGATCAAGAAGCCTACTTTAAGTCAAGTCACATAAATATTGTTCACTGAATCGTACACGAACCAGAAAGTAGCTTACTAGTTTAAGTAAATTTAATATTAAATTATTACTACAGATTTACATATGGAAATCATGGAATGATTATTTAATTAAACTTATAAATTTAAACTTTCCATTATAGTAAAACTTGGATAACTAATATCGTCTAAAAGAGAAAATTTCTTCGCTGAACGCCCATAATTTTTTCCTACTTATCATAAAGCTTAAAAATTAATTTCCCTGATATTTTGCAGTGATGTTTGCTAACTTATTTAATTGTGCAGTTGTTACATAGCAACACAAAGTATAATAGTCATTCTTGATAAACCTCAAATTTAAAACCGTTATAATGCTGCAATTCACTATGCAATTTTAGTATACCTCTGTCATCCATCATCATCATCAAAATTGTATTGTAAATCGAATGTTATTTCTTCATAATCCATCATTCTACTCAAAAATTAAAGAGAGTATGCAATTTTTGAAAAAGAAATCTGTATCTTTCCGCCTAATACAAGGTTTCCCAATCTTTACGTGAATCAATTTGTTACATTCTGTGTTCGAAATACAAAGATTACAGAGGTTTAAATTAATCTCACTGATTGGTGAATAAGTAGAAACCAATACCTTACTGGTCAATTTCTTAATTCTCATTAATTTATGTTGATTAAAGTGTGTTGTGACAAGTAATCTAAATAATAACTCATGATCTATGTTTGTAATGGCAAATCGTTTTTTGATCGTCTCCAAGGTCTAGACAAATATGATATATATATATATATATATATATATATATATATATATATATATATCGATTTAGTGTGAAAATATCGATACTACTGAAGAGCAGAGGTAATTTCGGTTAATTTGGAACAGCACTGTGTGAGTTCGGATCCTAAATAGGAACATAACTACGCTCAAGATACCATATGTATGTGCCCTCAAATGCTATTGTACGGCCAAGAGTGGGAAGAGTCCGCTCTACCATTCGAAATGCTCTTACATGGCCAAGCATATATATCGTCTATATCATGGAAGTCCTACTCACTGCCTTCTCGTGGCAGGGGTGTTCTTTACGAAATTGAGGACGAAAAGCGAATGTCCGGGTTGGTGGACACGGAGTGGGAAAACTCTGATTCCAAACCAATGGTGTTCATGGACTCCAGTATCCTGAAGGAATAAATAGTGTATGAATCAATCGTTGGTCACCAGCTACCATGGGACTGCATCTCCTCAGAATGCTCCACTGCCTAGTGGATCAGACCTTTAGGTCAAAGGCTTCGGGTGTGGCCCCTTAAGAAAACCACCTGTTTCAGTTTGGACACCTGGACAGTGTCGCAACCCTCACATAAATCAAATGAGATGTGTGTGGTGCATATATATCTGGTGTCTCCTTGTACCAATATTTGTGTTCAAATAAATAAAACAAACGAGATACCATATATACATGCCTTGGTGACAAAAGTTAGGTAGCTTAATATCCAAAACCAGGCATTCCTGTCGATTACATATAACAATAAAATAATAGCATTTGTGATAATGAATACTCATTAATAAACTGATGGAACTGTATATTAATGTATACTATACATCAATCTACTTCTAAACAGAGAAAACTATCGATTCAGTGTGAAGTCTAACTGAAACTAATTACCAATTATTCTTCAACTGATGTTAATCAACTATAAAAACTTGACTATACAATATCAGTAATAATAAAATTTACATGATTAAAGTAAACAAAAAAGGCAAATTTATTTGAATAGATCTATTTTTATTTATATATACAATTCAAAAAATTATTTAAAAAAAATAAATCAAATCAAACAGAAAAATCGATAGATAGATAGATAGATAAATCAATAAATCAATACAAAGTTGATAATCAAAAATTAAAAAAATCTATACAATTAAGATATTTGATGATGTCACATTATTAAAATATAGTTTTTATCCTCTGTATAGAGAGGAAGTACATTTTCTTACTTATTATACATACTACATTTCATTATATTCAAAGAAGGGAGGAAAATAAGATAATATACAATATCGATCATATCAATATTGAAAATCAATATGATATATCATATAATTGAATCATTCGATGAATCAATAAAAGTTAAAATAATTGATTGATTATTATAAAATAATTTTTGTAAATTATAAATATCTAATTGTTTACAATGAATTCCATTAATTTGAATAATTTCATCACCAATATGTATTTGATTATTTTCTTTTAATTTTTCTGATAAACGTGTAATACGATAACCTGGAAAAGAGAAAAAAAAAGAGGAGAAAATGTGAAATAACTAGGTAACAACAAAATTTATATATAATATTTTTATAGTTGAAATCATCAATCAATTGAAGCTAGACCACCATGGAAAACCTGGAAGCATTGGATGGTTGTTTCGTCCTATTGTGAGACTCCTCAGTAGTGCACATCCACGATCCCTCCTCTCGAGATTCGAACCCAGGATCTATCAGCCTCATGCGCGAGCACTTAACCTCTAGACCACTGAGCCATTATACAATGGTGGTAATGTTTAGCTTCAACCAATACATGTGCATGTGCACTGCTGAAGAGCCCCACAATAGGACGAAACTGCTATCCAGTGCTTTTAGGTTTTCCATGATGGTCTAGCTTCAATTAACTCATGATTTCAACTATGAAAATACTGAAATCTCCACAAAACCCCTTCTGGTTATACATTATAATAATGACACATCACTGTTTACCTATTTTAAAGATTTGATAACCGGATATAATTGTTTATTTTATATAAGAATTACAAAATATAGAAATTATTGGAAACTACGGATAATGAAAATAGTAACTGAAAATTACAAATGGAATAATGTTTTTATTCATTGATAGTAATACTCGTTCGCATTAATACTTCAAATGATATTGTGGTGAACAAGTAATGGGAGAGACAATCGAATGTGTTTTAGCACAAAATTACAGACTATCTCACTAAAATTTGACAACCATATAGTAAATAGTTAATTTGGAAACTATTAATCAATTGACTGAATCCTGACCATTCCTTCTGTAAATATCAGTATATCGTCTTTGATTAATATTGTTCATACACTTGCATACGAGTTGCGCTTCATTCCCGTTCTTTCGTTATCGATCTTCTATTGAAATGCATCTAATGCCCGACCATCGTTATATACTACTTATGTGGATATGAATAACCCACACCACATTATTAAAACTATTTATTACTTTTACCATTCTCTACATTTTGCAAATGCATTCATTCTACCTAACGTTATATATCTAACAGATTATTGATATCTATTGTTTCAAAATTCAGTTCAGTGAGTTTTGTCAATAAATCAAAATGATTTCATTCATCTATGTCTTACCTTGTTCTGATTTGATTACAAATAAACCAAATGACTCATCAAATTCACGTCGTGACAGTATGACATATCGAACAGTTGGTGCACATTGACAACTGTCATCCGAAACTATCATTTGACCATTCTTGTCAACTGAGATTTTATTTAATTCATATGAGTATTCTGTTGTGGATGAAGTATTTCGTAGTGAATCAGAATGTGACAAGTGTTCGGTGTATAGCTTGAATGAGTTCGACTTTGAGATGAATGATTGATTTGAGTGATCAAGATTGTGATATGAACTGTTTGAAGTAAGTGATATATTGGGATTAGAATATTTCATTACTTTGCAAATATTACTGATCGTTTGTTGTGCAGACTTCCTGATTCCTCGAAATATACTAGAACTCTGTTGAAGCGCTGTTTTCGAAAGTGGATTTTGCGCATGCACACTATCGTTCTCACTGTTTAGATATTCAGTCGAAGATTGTACAGAACTCACACTTCCAGTACTAAAACGACGAGAGAATTGCTTTGACGCTACTTTATTCCATCTCCTACTTTTCAAAGGAAGACTTTGTCGTTTGGCTGAAGGAACTGAGGAAGTTGATATAGATGGTGATGATGGTGTTGAGGAGGTGGTGATGAGAAGTGAACCACTCGACTGAATTCCACACATACATGCAGTCGTATTTTTCACTGCATCTGACTGATAGATATATCTAACGAGTGGACAAATTTAAAAAAATAAAATTAAATAATATCAGGTGAGCTTATCTGCATGATCAGCTTACTATGAAATTCATCTAAGAAAGGATGAATGAACATGTCATTTATTGTGAGTGACTGATAATGTATCTAACTGGTCATTTAATATATGTCAATGATTATTACCTATGGGAGTGAGTTCGAACTATTTCATAAGCAACTAATTAAACACTACATTAAGTTTTATTTCGTTTAATGGATGAAACAAATGCTGACAATCAAACAGTGCATCCTGAAATTGACCAGTCACCAAGGTTAGCAGAAATGAAATTCAAATGTATCTACTGGGTACATGAAGTAAGTAAAGTGACTTTTCAAGAATTCTATTGTGGATGGTCATACCAGTCGATGTTTTGTTGAAAATATTAGTCAGCAATTAATTCATATGTTCATATATTAAACGCACGAATAAACACTGTCCAGTACATCCTATATTCATATTAAAGTGAACATTATTATCCTCACTATCAACTCACTCAGAAACTATCTTTGGCAATCCTACATTTATTATATCACTATTGTCTTCGATATAGAATTCTTGTGTAATTGACCACTACATCATTCTCCACTGTTGCAACATCGTAACTCGACTGAGTTGGGAAGAGAATATCAATCGTTCCACAATGAATAGGATTCACTTGAGTTCATCTACTCGAAATCTCTCATGTTCACAATAACTAATTCTATGAAAAATCATTCAGTTCACATCTATCACCAGTGATGAGTATTTTACATCATTATACTACCATCACTACATGAAATATTAGATGAGAAATGATAGGTGAGAGAGAACATGACGTAATCAACTACAAACAACTTGTGTCAATTATTTTCAAACTTGTACATCGACTAATCAAATCGGTGGTAATTAAACCAGTGAAGTGGTGGTCTAGTGAAGAGTATTGCATCTCCCTCATATTGTTATCAGGTCCTCATTAAATTCCATTTTAAAATATCCAATATTCTCTACAAGTGAAGTGTGCTTGTCAGTGATTATAATAACAGTGATAATAACAGTTAGAGAGACTTGCTGTATGCATAATTCTTACAATGTCTATAATGATTAAGTAGTGACACAGTTAGAATCTTTTCAAACAATGATAATGTTAATGAAGCTTATTATATTAAGAACAACCATAATGTAGGTCAAATCTCATGTATAATCAAGGAAATGAATGTGTTCTATAACAAATAACAAACAAACAAACGAAGTGTAGTAATGAGAAGGTGGTCTATTCGTGAAGAAAACAATATGGAACATGTGTCAAATGATATTGTCGGAGAGTTTGTTCAAGAGAACCACTACACAAATTGTGATCATCTTTCGGATGTGTTGAGTTGTTGATTCTCTAAGATGGGACTTTATTCACTCGTTTCCCAACAAATTGAAATAGTACATTTCTCCATATATTAGAAAAACGAGTAAATTTTGTGAAAAATCGATTCGACAATCAGTGCTTAATAGGATGTCAATAGTGTGTTCTTGGAGAATTTTCGTGGATAAAATCTCTAGGACACATAAATTTATGGAAAATGTGTCATGTGACTTCAACAACAATGTTTATCAATAATATAAATCACTAAAAATATCTTAATGCTAGACAGCTCCACATATGTAGTAAGATATCTTACCTGTTTTCATAGTTAGTTCTTTGTACTTTACAGAATTCATCAGTACATGATCGTTTTACCGTAGTTTGTAAAGCTTTAAGGAAAGAAGATTCATCGAATACTGTACGTTAGAAACAGTAAAATGAAGTAGATGATTTTATAAATTGTTACATTTATCAAGATTTGTTGACTTACGTCTATCATATTTTAAATACTGTTCATTCGATCTAGATAATGCTGCATCCTCGATACTGGATCGTCTTTTCATACCAGGAACGGTACAAATTTTAGTTCTTTTACATGTAGAATATTGATATTCTGTAGATGTAACCGGAATATTCTGTGCAATTTTAGATTCTAACAAACGATTTTTAGCCTGATTCCAGATTTTTGCTTCTTCATGACATGAATTATTTCGAATAACAATTGGTTGATTTTTCTCTCCTGTGATCTTAACAAAACTGAAGAAATATGCATCATAAAAGTTTGCGATATAAAGCGTATTACCTTTGATAACTGTTAAATAGCTAGAAATCATTTAATATAAGGATATAAAACAATATAACTTAACCTTTGAATTCACTTAGTATTGTTTGTTTGAATCTTCCCGTTGATGTGTTAGGACTGCAACTGGTCAGTCTCTTATTGACATATGTGCATACTGTGCGTATTGACTCGATATATCCGTAATTCACAAGCATTATAAGAAAAGATGGATAGTGGTTAGTAGTGAAATCCAGGACGCGCGTTTCGTCCTATTTGGGACTCGTCAGATGGATGTACCTGCATCTTTCGATTCAAACGCCATCGCGTTATCCACTCGGCTACTCAGTTCTTAACCTTTGTTAGGAATATTCACTGAATTCCTATTTCTCTATCCTAACAGTTCTTTTAGCCATCACTATTTCATTGTTCTAACCATTTATCAACTCACATGGTTTCGAACTCCATTTATATTATGATCTTAATATAACTAATTAATTAAATCTATATTTTTACAATAACATGAAGCATAGCAGTCAGTCAGCTACAACATAGGATAAGTCATATATATATATATATATATATATCGGTCCAAGTTGCGATACCTCATTAGCACAACAAGATGAACACTGAATTCATAGAAGTAGTAATTTGAATGGTGGTAAATTACAAAAGACCGTTTATACTAACATCTGATGTGCCATTAAATATAAAAATCATGTATAGATTTCAAAGAACTTAACAATAAAATGATCATCATTTGAACTCTTATCCAATAAGATAAATTACTAAAGTTTTATATAGTTAAGATCGCGAGTCAATTGAAGATAGACCATCATGGAAAACCTGGAAGCACTGGACGGTCGTTTCGTCCTATTTTGGGACTCCTCAGTAGTGCGCATCCACGATCACCATAAAACTATTTCTGTATCCATCATCAGAACATTTGCAAAGATTTAGTGAATGATAAATATACAATTATGTAATGATATAGTAGTACATCGTTTATTAAATGAGTGATACATTTTCTTATTAGATTTCGATTAATTGGTCATTTATATTATTATCGATTTGATTTTTGTAAGCATTTCAACACTATTTGATACCTTTTGGTAAATAATGTCTTTCATAATATCATAATATACAGAAATAACTACTGAATAACAAACTGGTGTAGAGAGTCTATCACTTATTGTACTATTGTAACTTGTATTACATAACCAAAAATGAATTACAAACCATCAACTATATAGGTTCAGATGTCATTCTTTTAAATGAATTGGGCTCTCTATTGTAATACTATTTAACAACCATGTGATGTGTTAAACAATCAGCATTACTGCTGTTAGGTAGAATGCATTGATATATTATAGAGTTTAATAATTATTAAATCTAATCACTCATCAACACCATTCTCATTAAGGGGTAAACTGTAGTTTATCCGACTTCAATAGGTAAAACGTCGAAGAAAGTATAAGTACACTTACTCTCCAGATTCACATATATTATTGTTCTTTGCATTGTTTAATGAATGTCTAGCTTTTATTGGTTGTCTCACTGTTGGCACCATTCGATTCAATAAACTTTGTCTTCTGGGTTTAAATACATCTTGACATTTATTCTTCTCTTTTTCTAACAGACTTTCATATGGTAAAATTGGGTATCGTTTCAACAATTCTTTTGCACTGTAATCATTAACAACCGGAGTCTTATCAACACAAGTAGGACGAATTTTGTGTGCGCTAACATCGAGATCATTTTCGCAGGACAAATTACAATTGTTGACTTTTCTATACTTTAAATGTAGTAGCCCCATACATGGAGTTAGGGGATACCGATGTAGCATCTGTGGTTGGTTTGCCAAATCCGAACAATTTTTTTGACTGTCAGGTACAATGCAACAATTAGCTGTTTTCTTCTCATTACCAGTAAAATCTACATCATTTTCGATAGTCATTTCACCAAAAATATTTCACCTAAATGTAACGAATATATATTAACAATGGATTACATCAATTGAATACACAATCAGTAATCTGATTGACAATTATTTGCTTATTTATACAATATCTCCATATTGAATGTAGGTGATGATTCTATTTTCGATATCATTCTTATTACATAAAGCAAAATTGTTCTGCAGGTAATATCGGTGAGACTATTGTGAGGTATCGTGAATAAAAGGAAGCTGATTATATCAATACTCATATATAATACAAGTGTATGGAAATGTCTAAGCCTTAGTGAAGTAACCCTGATCACGGATTAAATAGCCGAGAGTGGGGAGAGTTCGCTCTCCCTCTCCAAATGCTTTCACATGGCCACGTGTATGTATCCTCTGTCAGGGATGTCCTACTCACTGCCTTCTTGAACCATGGGTGTTCTTTACGAAATTAAGAGGACGAGAAGCGAATATCTGGAGCTTCAAAAGGGTTGATGGACACGAAAAGTTCACCTAGAGGAGCTGGAAAACCCTGATTCCAAACCAATGGTGTTCATGGGCTGGCTCCAGTATCCTGAGTGAACAAATGGCATATGAATCAATCGTTGGTCACCGGATACCATGGGACTGCATCTCCTCACGATGCTCCACTGCCTTGTGGATCAGACCTTCAGGCCAAAGGCTCCGGGTGTGGCCCCTTAAGAAAACTACCTGTTTCAGTTCGGGCACCTGAGCAGTATCATAGCCCTCACATAAATCAAATGAGATTTGTGTGGTGCACATATATCTGGTGCCTCCTTGTACCAATATTTGTGTTCAAATAAATAAATAAAATATGTATATAAATTGTTTGTCACAAGAATTAAGGTGCTAGTAAGATAATAAAAACTGAGAAATAATTAGTTGTCTATTGTCTTCTAATACAGAGGTTCTGACATCTTCTGGACTATTTGGTCTTAAATTATAATTAATTGACATTAGTAGTAAGAAAGAAGATAACATTCCCTCATATGACGGTAACATGTTAGTCATTGTAGAACAGATATGTTAATCTATAACCCAATATGAACTTACAAAAACTCATTTCATTCGTACTTTAAACTAGAAAATTTAAAGTGAAACCACACTCTAAAACCAATATATTCAAGAGTTTGGCGAGAATGGTACAAGATTGCTTACATGTGTAATCATGTAAATGTATACTTAAACAAGTAATTTATCTCAGGAATATGACCCATTTCATTCAGGGTTTTGATGGCGGTGTATTCACAAACAATAACTTATCCGTTTATAAGTCTATACTAACGGGAATATGATCTTACTACTTTACAATTAAGATTTTTTTAAATTAATCAATTACCAGACAACTGAATACACAGGAACTACCTGTTGTTATGTTGAAGATGATATTAATGGCTATCTTCGTTTATCATTCATAATAATAACAATGGTAAACTAATGATAATAGTGATAATAATAATAATCGTTTTATAGTCATTAGCTTGAGGATTATTCACTGATTTATAGTTAAGACTGCTCTATCTAACTATTTCCCAATGAAAATCATCTTCAGTCAGCAAAATATCCATCTTAGATTACCCATGGTATCGAACAACGCACGATTCAGTAGACAGGATTTAATTAATGCATATTATATATAAATTACAAACAATCCACTTGGTATGAATATAAATTATTATCGCATCCAATAAGAAGAATGTTTCATTCAAAATATTGATTAACTTACCCTATTTCTTTAAGTTAATAATCTTAAAACGATTGAAATACGATTAGTAGTCCACAGGAAAACGTTTGTATGAAACAAGTGAATAATATAAGGAAAATATAATCGATGCTTGTAATTGAGAGACAATAATTCCTATTTATATAGGTTGTCACACAATTGATATCGATGCATGATTGGTTGATCCATTTATCAAAGGGGGGTAAAAGACAGTAGAAGGGAATATTAAAGCGTAAGATTAATCTGATTGGTTGAATAAGTCTCATTTTATAAGTGCGAAAATTTTGCATCCAGTAAAATTTTATTAGTAAAATTGACTCATATTGAGATCAAAATCAACACTTAAACAGTTCAGTATAATTACTAATTAATTGCTCAAATATTCTGCTAATGGTAGCGGTCTTCCGGGTCAATGAAATTCGATAGTGTAGTAAGAAGAAGAAGATTATCAGAAGTTCATTCAAATTATACAAAACTTTCACAAATTCAATCAACTTTTACCTAACTAAGTAATTAGGCTCATAACTGACATACTTTGAGGTGAATTTCTCGAAGATCAGTTAAGGAGTTATGATTTGCGTAGACAATCAATGACATAAATTAAATATATCTGGAAAATTTAAATCACTTTCTTCTGACTTGGTACGAGTGGTAACACAAACACCTTGTGACTTAAATATTTCGGACCAAATCGTTAGGTGTATCACATTAAGGTTAACAATCGTCTAGTATTCTGTGTTATTCAGTAGTTATTGAAGTAACATCGATCATTGATAAAAGTCGTATTTAAATATTTTGATTACTTGATTTCTTGATGGATTGTAGTCATAGATAAGTGTTCTTGTCACATTACAGAAAACTTCAATGGAAAAGATTTTGCTTGGTCAATCATGAACTCTAGCACAGTGTAGAGTGAATAAGTTCGGATAAATATTAATGTAGTATTGCAAATTCCCGTATTCTAAATCAGCGTAACATATTTAAGCTGACAGTATTATTTTCCATTAGATCCTGTAGCGGTAAATAAATCCACAAAATAAATGGTTCTGTAAGTTTTCGACCTCATTAGTTTTACTGGACATATCTAGCTGAAGGCACTTGGTCACGTATCCGCATCAGATCACGAGTGGGTACTCCCTGCTACAGCATCTCTTACAATCGTTAACCAGCTTAGATTAAACCCTTCCCGATATATTGATAGCCTTTCAAATATATCTTCGGATTTTTTTCATTTCTGACTTCTGATTTGACTAGGTTGGCATACTTTATTATAAAAGTGTTATATGTAAAGGCGTTGTCAAACTCCGAACACCTGTGGCATCTTTAATCTTCATCAACCTTTAATATAAAGTAATATTTCTGCGTATATATAAAAATAATAAATTTATCAAGGCAGCTTATGAATCAGTGATCTAATTGGAAATAATACTGTTCCCTTGTTTGTTTATTCTAAATATTAATGAAATTTTGATTTCTGGCATTGTTTTTATACTTCCATAAGTTTTCCATAGATATGTACATCTATATATCCCTTCATTTGGGAAATATCCCAAACTGATTAGAAATCAATTTAGATCTCTGTATTGTGACTCAGAGAATGGATAGTATTAAGCTCAGTCTCTGATGCAAATGCTATATGTGTTACAAGGTGGTAGATCTACACAATTGCGATTTAAATAAGAAAACTTTCGAACGAAAATAAAATTTAAGTACATTTGTATCATTAAATTCATCTGTTTGTTAACTCATTACCTCAACTCGGTTGACGGCACTATATAAATTCCAGGGATTGACAACAGACTATATTTTGTGACTCTGAAGTAAATTTGACGTTGCCTTTATATGCAATCAAGAGATTTGAGAGATTGTTAAAGACATGTTTCCATTGAAATTATCGTGCATCAAAAGGTTGCGTTTTTTTACATGTTGAACTGTATACAAATGAAATGAATTAATTGGTAAATTAGACAATCCCATTTCACAAATTGTTATCTCCAGTTATGATAATGACGTTATTGGACTGGTTCCATAATTTTAGCAATTACAAGATATCATCACATACAATTTTGCAATAAACAGGATTTATGATTTGGACAGGTTCATAACTTCATACAGACAACTATGGATTAATCATTAGTCATTAGTCAAAAACTATAAATAAATAAACATTTAATATCTTCATTATTATCAGAATGGGAATTTGTGGAGATTTTAGTAATTTTAATAGTTGAATTTACGAGTCTATTTAAACTAGACCATCATTGAAAACCTTAAGGCACTAGACGACTATTTTGTCTTATAATGGGAATCATCAGTCGTGCGTGTCCAAGATCCCGCACGCGGGACTTGAAGTTAGACATTAACATCATTGGATGCCAACTCAGTGGACTAGAGGTTAAGTGTTTGCTCACGACATCGAAAGTCCTGGGTTTGAGTCTCACATGTGAGACAGTGCCTGCTCATTGATGAGGAGTTCTATACTAGAACGAAACGGTTGATCAGTACTTCCAGGTCTTCATTGTTGTCAAAACTCGCTTTTATAGTTAAGTTCATATAGGTAATAGTTGACACTTAATTTGTTATCATTTAATCAACAGTTCACTGAAAGTGAGATCCAGATGAGAGTGAAATCCGAAAGTTAATATCTAACTATCTCCATATATGTTTGTCTACCTCAGCAATGCACAACTACAACAAATTAACACATAGAAACAATCTCAAATTTATTTAACTCACTTTTCATTATTTTAAGTATGTACTTAAATAATTAAACATGTTTCATTTCTGTATGAGGAGATAGAGTTTGTCAACATTTATGATTAACTCTCTTAAAAACTATGATCAAAGCAAGTGATATTCACCATAGTGTAATCGATTCACTGAAGCAAAAAATGAATCAATCACCATCACCATTTCAACAAATTATCACTTCATGAATTTATAACACAAAAATGATTCAACTTGATTATATACTACTGAATCCATTCATCCAAAGAAAAGAAAGTTAAGAAATTGATGATTTATTTATTTGAAGTAGGTCTTCTAAGGGATCTTTTTTAAAAAAAAAGTTTATAATTTGCCCATACATATCAATCATGATTTAATAAACACTAGACTTTAGTTAATAAAGATACAGGTGTTTATTAACAGTTGTCTACGCAAGATACTTCGGATCCGTTGGCTAGACATTATCAGCAACAAGCTAATGTGGGAAAGAACAAACTGAATTCCAGTGGAGGAAGAAATCAGGAAGAAGCACTGGAAGTGGATAGGACACACATTGAGGAAAGCACCCAAGTGCGTCACAAGGTGAGCCCTCACATGGAGTCCTGAAGGTAAAAGGAGAAAAGGAAGACCAAAGAACATATTACGCCGAGAAATGGAGACAGATATGAGAAGAATGAACAAAAATTGGATAGAACTGGAAAGGAAGGCCCGGTACAGAGTGGGTTGGGGAATGCTGGTCTTTGGCCTATGCTCGATTGGGAGTAACAGGCATAAGTAAGTAAGACTTTAGTTATTTATTCATATGTTCATATTCGTTGAATAAAATATATACCTGAAATATATACTTCACTGTTGAATTTCAAGAATAACACTGTAGTTAACATTTTAATTTCAAAATTATCTTGTAAATAATTACATTGTTCTCCATCGATTCGATGTATGTATAATTGACCTGAATTGATGGATGCGCACTGATGAGGAGTCCGACAATAGGACGAAACGGCGGTCCAGTGCTTCCAGGTTTTTCATGGTGGTCTAGCTTCAATTGATTTGCGATTTCAACTATATAAAAATTCTTTCTTAAAATGGACATTTATTTCATGTATTTACTTTAAAGAATAAATATTGATATAATTGGGGACCGAAATAAATATGCTCCACACAAAATGAAATTAAGATTGTGATGAGACAGAAAAAGGAGAAAGGATATAATGAAAAACAAAGAAATCAGCAAAAAATAATTGAACAAGAGTAGTATACAATGAGAGAAGCAATTCAATGAAGAGAAATATAACCAAACAGAATCCTTTCAGTTAGAGAACTTCCTCTTAGTTTCGGTAAGAAGTAAAATAAAATTACATTCGGATTAATAATAACTTTTATTCAGAAACATATCTGATAATATCTTAAGCCACTGAGTTATACTATCTTTAAGACCCCAGCTAGAGACTCGTGCTGGCCTAACAGATGACAGTTCTATACAGTTGTCTTTCATACGCCTTCATCATATCATAAACTGATGGCCTCTTCTAGCCAGCCAGTCTTAGTAAATAAGACATAATGTATTAGTCATCTGGATTATTTTTGTACCACATGTCTAAGCCACAGAAACTGGTGTTTTAAAGTGATGATATCAGTTGAATCATGATCACTGTGACTGAAAAGACGTTGCCTAAACTCCACATTACTGACGTAATATTGCCATTAGATGTCAACAGCTCTTCGGAGATAACTATAATCCTCAAATCAGAAAGGTTAGACTTCACAGACAAAGACAGAACTGCTCTCACCGACGAATTGTAGACCCGAGCTCTTACAGCCAGACTAACACCATAACAATGCCAAAGATGACCCAGATTTGTTTAGGCCATTTGGTCTTTATATGTAGATCGATCTCACTACCCACCAAGCCACAAACATTCACATAGCTACCTAGATACACTAAATTGTTGATTACTTTTAACAGATTACCAAAATGGGACTGCGGGTACGAGCTTCTGACAGTTTCTTAAAAGTGCTTTCCATTCAGAAGCTGAAAAGTACATGCCATGCATACAGACAATTATTTACAACTCATCAAAAATGGATCGCACAGCTTAGTTCCATCATCATTAGCTGAATCATGTGTACATATGCTCTAACTAATCCAATAACTTGAAGAAATATGTTTTGAAGAATATTTTCAATTAACATTCCGTCAATACATCCTTTAGCTTTATTCAGTCAGTTGGTCTATTTTTGCGTAAATACAAAAATATAGGATTCTCATAAGAAAGTTATAACTACAAGTAGAACATATCAATAACTATGAACATTATCGTTTCCAGAAAAATATAACTAAAATCAAATACATCTGTTCCAGTGTCCCATAAACTTTCACA